CCTTTGTTTTATATACATCAAACTTATAAAAGTCAACATATAGTATTTGACATTACCATGAATAAAGCCAATTTCAATTCAATGACTGATGAGAACTTAGAGAATAGCTACTTAGCTCTTGAACAGTACTAGGAATGAAAAAATAATATATTGTAAAGGTAAAAGCAAATAGCAATATACTATGCATAATTATAAAAGCAATACTATTACTGGCATTTTACTTTCATATGCACAAGATCTAGTTCTTATGACCTTAACTGTAACGTTCTACAGAAAAGAACATGATGCATATATTATAAGGTATGTGGGAGTAGCTGTCAAAGGAAGTCTGTTCCTTGTTCTTTGAGCTACTCTCTGGGTGAGAAAGAAAATGGACTCAAAACAAATTAGTCTTTAAATATTCATTACCTATGGTATGCATATTGTAACTCCTGATAGTGGTCAGAAAGTCAAATTTCAATGGACCTATAAAAATGAATCAGTGGGTCTTCTTTAAGAGAAATTATGAAAATATCCGATATCTGGGGAGGAGAGAAAGGTCCCATAGAATATTGCATTTCCGGCCAGCAGATGATGAAACGGTTACATTGCTGGACTCTCACATGGTGGATTGGTTCGAGTTCTAGACACAGTGGCTTGAAAATCATGCCAAGTGCATGTGTGTGCATGCCCAAGATCCTAGGAGGAGAATGAAGGAGAGGTGATTGCAGCGTGGCCATCTTCCCCAGGGTGATTTCTTACTTTCCCTCTCACAGACTCTGTCTCTCTCTCTTTCTCTCTCTCTCTCTGGTGAGCTCACATGCCCTAAGGCGAAAACCTCTAAAAGAGAAAAAAAAAAAAGAATATTGCAGTTTCTGTAGCATAAGGGTTGATTCCTCTCACCTTATTTTTCCTGGCATTATTTTTTCCTCTTCACTCAGCCTTATCCTTGGTGTTCAGAAGACATTTTAGATTCTGGAGTAGAAATTATTTTATACTTTATAGAATAATGAATTTTGAAATATACATGATTTTTTTTCTTCAAAATACAAGTGGTTATTAGTATAAATAAGACAAGCCAAAATTAGCTGATTACTTTCTGCATGGACTGACCCAAAGAGTTACTTTGTGTGGTTAGATCTTTGGATTTTGGTTTCTGGACCAGCCCATGGCCTAATGGTTAGTCATTAGACTCCCATATAGTTGACTGCAGTTTGAGTCCCAGGCCTAGTGGCTTAAAATTCACGCCAGGCAAGTGTACACATGTACCCAAAACCCTGAGAAAAGAATGGAGGAAAAAAGATTGCTGTGTGGCCATTCCCCCAGGGGGTGATTTCTCACTTTCTATCTCTGTTTCTCTCTGTCTCTCTGGTGAGTGCATGTACCCTATAGCAAAAATCTCTCTCTCTCAAAAAAATGAATAGCATGTTGAGAATAGCCTCCTGAAATACGCAGAAGAACACAATTAAAAACAGACAAATATTTATTTGGAATAGGTTACTTAGAGAATTCTGGTCAAGTTTCAGGATAAGATAGGAACAACCATTTTCCACAATGATTTAGGCTTAATTTTATTAAAGACAGAAAGCCAGATTAGGTAAGTTATCAAGTTTTCTCCACTATCAATGATATAATATTTGTGTTTATATGTTACAAAATAAACTAATTTTGATAAAACTTTTATTTGCCCCTACATGATTTATAATGCCTTTTTCTAACCATGCTAAAGATGGAAATCAAACTTGATTGAACTTACAGGATTATCATTAGGGGAACAGGGAGTAGGGAACGCAGAGCAGCTCTGACACATTAAATTTTCCTTTTTTAGGAAACTCGTATCACCCTTGAAAGATTTTGATGACTATTTCACTCACCCACAAAATGTGCTCATCAAACAGAACTCAGCAATTACATCATGCTGCTCTTAAGAGGGAAAGCTGAAGATGACCTATTATGTCCATAGAACTAACTCCCAAACCCTGCTACCATGGCTCAGGCTTTATCATGAAGTCTCAGCCCCATTTTTCCTACAAATTCACTCTGGTTTCCTTCCCAGAGTGTTACGACGTTTACCCTGCCGGCTTCCTAGATTTTGCTTTCTGCTCTCTCCTAGTAAGAGCTTAAATTTTAATAACCCTCCTTTCAGCAAAAATCAACCTTTCAAAATACAAGTAACAACTGCTCATTAGAATTTTTTAGAAGAATATTTGTTTTAAGACTAAAGGCAAACCAAAAATAACCATAGAGTATTTTTGTTCTAAAATTTAATGAAAGTCAGAAATATCCACGGGGAAAGGCAGTGAAGCGTCAGGGCCAAAAGCACAACAAGTATATTTGCTGTAAAATAATGTCACAGTCATTAAGAAAAAGGAGCTATTAAGTTAAAATAAGATCTAACGAATGGAGAAGAAAGAGAATGTCCATAGTATATGTATGGTTTGGATGACTGAGGTAGTCTTTTACTTACCTATTAATTACTTATATTTATAGTACTGCAGATAAAATTGTCACTGGCAGTCTCACAGACAGTAAGAGAGGTTTAATAAGCCTAAATTTCAAAAGGGGTAAGTATGCAACTTAGTGGGCACTCTTAAATACTCCTGGTTACATTTTAATTGGCTAAGCCTGTCTGTCAAGGAACTTGGCAGATCAGTTTTGATCAAAAGCCATAAAAATGTAAATACCATTGGACCGAGGAATAACCCAAAAGAGGTTATACAAGAAGATATAGTTAACTGAATTCTTTTCTTAATCTTGTTTAATAGGTTTATTGATACATAATTCACTACCATACAATTCATCCATTTAAAGCATGCAATTCAAGGATTTATTTAAAGTTGTGCAATTATCACCACAATTTTAGAACATCTTCATCATCTTAGAAAGAAACTCAGCGCCCTTTAGCTATCATATCCAAAAACCATGATTGTCCCCAGGCCTAAGTAACCACTAATCCACTTTCTGTCTCTAAGATTTGCCTGTTCTGGATATTCATGTCAAGAGAATCATAAAAGATGTGGTCTTTCGCGTCTAGGTGACTAGCTTCTTTCATATGGCACACTGCTTTCAAAGTCATGTTATAGTATATACCAATACTTTCTTTGTGTGACCAAATAATATTCCGTTGGATAAATATACCACATTTGATTCATGTGTTCATCAGTTGATGGGCATTTGGATTGTTTTACCATTTGGCTATTATGATTAAGACTATTGTGAACACCAGTATAAAAGTTTTTGCTTGGACTGGTTCCAGCCGGTGGCATAGTGGTTAAGGACTCCCATGTGGTGGAGCATGGTTCAAGTCCCAGACCTGGTGGCTTGAAATTCAGGTCAGCACATGTAATTGCATGCCCAAAATCCCAAGAGGAGAATGGAGAAGGGATTGCAGCATGGCCATCTCCCCTGGTGAAGTGATTTCTCACTTTCTGTCGCTCTCTCTCTCTAGGCCATGCAGGTGCCCTATAGCAAAAATCTCTCCCCCCTAAAAAAGTTTTTGCTTGGACTTAAATTTTCATTTCTCTCAGATATAAACCTAGGAGTTAAATTTGTATTCTTACAGAGTGACAATCAGAAGCAATTTCATGGCCCAACAATGGAATTATGCTACATTCTGAACAGTATTATGCAAAAATGCACTCTCGAGAGTATTACATAGAAAAATGTTGGCTATGTAGAATGAAAGACCACATAGTAATACAAAAAAAGGCTACATGAAGTGAAAAAGTAGAACAACTTCCATTTAAAATCCTTCCAGGGTTTTCCATGGGGCTTTCCATTCCCTGCTCTCTCCTACAGACTCTGTCCCCTGCCTTCCAATCCCGAGCCAGCTCTCTCTCCATTGAGGGCCAGACACACTAGCTTCTAGAGACTATTAGGATGCCTCAGCTTTGGAACCTTACCAAGTGTTATTTCCTCTGCCTTTCATCATCATGTCCAGAAGTTTCAAGTCTCATCTTAAATATCACTTCTTCAGAGAAACTCTCTCTAGTATACCAAACTAGGATAGGGGTGTTTCCATAGCATCTTGCGATTTTCCAACTTAATAATTCTGAAACTGGTTAATTATTTATTCAGTCAGTAACCACTTATAAAGAGCCTTTTTACATATTGGGATGGGGTGAAGCAAAACATACATGATTTGGCATCTGTAACCTTATATTCTTGGGAGAGAATATATGTACAAGTAAATAAATTGCAGCACTGGGTAATTTTATAAAGCATTTTGAGACAACTCAGTGGCTACCCTTTGTGTTGGGATTGTAAATTCCCTATCTTGATCTTGGTAACTTCCAAGTTGCTGGTTGTCTGGGCAGCTGAATGAGCTCAATACACAATTTTTTTTTTCTGACTCAAAATAGGCACGTAAAAGATAGAAATGTTCAAAAAGTACACGACTACTTCTATAAATGGTTAAGCTTGAGGACCTCCCTTTTTAATAAAAACCTTTCTGCAATATTACATATATTGTTTCTGCAAACATATTCCGCAATAGTACACATTAACACAACTTAAAATAGGAGCAAAAAAAAAAAATCACCATTTGTAGTAAAAGAACCTCAAATAAAACCCATTTATGTCACCACATACTCGTTGAGGAACTGGTAATAAAACGTACTCTGAAATATTCAGACCTGTTGGGTAAGTGGATAGATTTCCCTTGGCGCACTACCAGGCAAGTTCCTCGCCCTTAGCAGTATAATTTACAGTTTTAACTGAGGTTTTAAATACCCAGGATACGATCCCTTTCAATTTTCCGATTTCTAAAGCGCTTTAGAATCTCCCTCCACCCACAGAAAGTGACACCGAAGGAAAAACAAAACAAAACAAAACAAAAAACCCGCAATTCTATTTACTCGTCAACGCTTCTAAAAGATCTTTTTTACGATGTCAACAAAGAACGCAAGGTCTGCACACATCGGATCACCAGCCCCTTCCCTACAAATCCTCTAGAAGCCCAGGAAACAATTAGGCTGGCGGGCTCCAGGCCGGGCCAGAGGAGCAGACCGAGAAGACCCTACCCCCGGCCGGGCGCTCCGCCGCTCCTTTCTTCTCAGGGGCGCATGCGCAGCGCACTCTCCGACCACCGCACGCCTCTTCCAGCCGGCCGAGAAGGCGCTGACGTCACCGTGTGGTCGCCGAGGAACCTTCCGCTCCTCCAGGAAAACGAGTCCGCGCACCTTTGGCTTGTCTTAGTCCATGAAAACGCTTCTCCCTCCTCCCACCCCAGCGAGGATGACTTGCCCAGCCTGTCTCTAACAGCGCAGCTTTTTAGGCAGACTCCTCCTTTTGCTCGCTGGCCAGGAAAGGCAGCGCGGAGGAAGAGGGGGCGGGGGAGAGTGAGCCGCTCGCTGTTGTTTACAAGAGTGAGCACGTCTGCGGATCGGTCCGCGAGGGCGGAGCGAGGAGCCGGCACTTCTTCCTCCCACCCCCTCCCTTCCTAGCCTTCCCCGCGAGCAGACGCGGCAGCGCCTCTGTCTCGCTTTTTCTTATTTTTTCCCCCTTTCCCCTTCCTTTTTTTTTTTTTTTTTTTGAGAGGTTTTTGCTATAGGGCGCTTGCGCTCGCCAGACAGACAGAGAGACAGAAAGCGAGAA